CCCCATCCCCATCCCGACCCCCACCATCTCACCACCCCAGATGTCAAGCAGTGGCGAAGCGTCCTGGCTCGCCTCTAGCCCTACCACACGATGTTCTAGGAACCTTTCGTGGTTTGCACGAAATGTTCTTAGAACATTACTGGTTGGGATTGTCTTGGTTTCGCACATCGGGCGAATGTTCTAAGAACATTGTTTTGTTATTAGAACATTTTTGGATTCTAAGAACACTTCGTGGTAGGACTATAGGAATGCCTGGACGGTTGGTCCCTGCTCAAAGATGGGGATGCCTGGACCCTTCGAAACTCGACGGGAACAGCCTGCATCCCCATCTGGCGGGGGGTAAATCGGCCAGCGGGGCCCAGGCCACGCCCGCGGGGATGGGGATGGGGATGGGGATGGAGATGGGACGCTGCTGATGCAAAACGACAGCCCAACACCACTCGGCGGCGAGCGAAGGGGGGAAATGAAAGGGGAAGGCCTGCTCAGAAGGCGGCGGGACTGCTCAGAAGCCCTCTTGCCTTCTGAGAAATTTCCTAAGTGGGAAGGCTCAGGAAATTTCCCAAAAGGCTGGGGGATTTCCGAGCCTTCCGAGAAGGCCCGCCCCTTCTCATTTCCCCTCCTCGACCGCCGCCGATTCACGGTCCTGATCGACCCCCAGGAGCTTGGACCTTTTTCCTGGGACAGGTTTTTCGTCCTCAGTCGTTTTTCGACGCTCCCGAGGCCTGGCGAGGGCCCCTGAGGCCGAAAGTAACGAAAAAACATCCCGTCGTGATTTTCTCACAGCGCGAGGGGGCTTGCGCCGGACGGGGCCAGGACGAGGATCCATGCGTTCCAGAGCGTTCCGGAACGCTCTCAGGGCGTTCCGGAACGCTCAGGACGCGGCGCCCGAGACGTCTTCCAGATCCGCCAGATCTCATGAGAGTTTCGACTCATCCCCACCCGAATATATCCTCGTCCTGGCCTCGTCTTGCTCCCACGGAGCGGTCGGGAAGCCATCGCCGATCGTCGGGGGTCTGGGCGCCTCTCGCGCCCGCTCCACAGGCGCGGAGGCGGGCGGCGGCGCCGGGCGCCCGGAGGCTTCCGCGCCCGCGCTGGCCGTGACCATCGTGTGCCTGGATTTCTACCGCGCACGGCCTGGGCACGGGGACGCGCAGTTTGGATGCTCGCTCTGAGGGCCCTCCCCAGGCGCACCCCTCGGGGCATGATGGCAGCAGTCACGGCAGGAGGTGTCTCGCCATTCCTGGCCTCAGGGGGCCCCCGCCGGGCCTCGGGGCCGGCAGGGGACGACTCGGGGCGAGAACTTCTGCCGCGGCGGAAGGTCGGCGGGAGTGAAGCGAGGCCGCCTCCGCCCGCGGAAGCCGGCGGAGGGGCGGCGGAAGGTGGCGGAAGTACGACATTCGCCCCCAAGAGATGAGGACGTTTTTGGGTACAGGGCTTCCGAAGTCGGCCAGGTGATGGCTGAGCGCGATGCGACAGCAGCGGCGTGCGCGCTCCCGTGCGGCCTCCCCGCGGACCCCGAACGTCGCGCTCCGGAGGTCCTTCTTGCTCAGGGTCACGCTTGCGTGCAGCCAGCCCTCGCCGATCAAGGATGCAGGCAACTCGATGGGCGGCGGGGGTGGGGTTCAGTCGGGCCAGCCCCTGTCCAGGAGGAAAGTTCAGAGCTTGTCAAAGAATAGTATGGAGACATTGTTTGGTTATTGTTTGCGTAGTTTCAAGTATTTGTCTACCATGTGCCATTTTTTCCGCCAGAATCTGCCTGTAGGAGGACATGCCGACCTAAGGAGAGGGTTCTGAATTCGTCGAGCACGCGGCGAAATCCGAGACCTAACCCCGCCCCCCGCCGGTTCAGCCGATGGTTGGTGAGGGTAGGGTTTGGATGTCGCCACCTAAGTGTTACAGTCCTGGGGCCACTCGCTCCACTCCTGCGTCGACGCGAAGAACCAACAGCATAGACGCAAACTTTCGGAGTGCCGCGCGGATTTCCTGGATTTGCGCTGGTCCCCCAGGCGATTTCGCCGATTCCACATGTGGATGCTGCTTTGCCGATGTCTTCCATGCGGGCGCCTCGGCGCCCCCTCCGCCGCGCCTCATGGTTCCACACGCGCGGAGCCGAGTCCGAGTCCGAGTTCCCAGGCGGCGCCTCCAGCGCCGCCCCTGGCGCCCTAGCGCCGATCCAAGTAGTCCAGGCGGAGCTCCGACAGTCCATGCTTATGCAGCTCGTGCTGTCTCCATCGGTGCTGCGTCGAGCGTCCGCCGACCAGAGGCCCCGAGAGTCGTTACAGGCTTGGCGACTTCTGCCGTCCTTCGACTCGCGCTGGAGCGGCCGAGAGTTGATCCCTGGATTTGCCTGGATTTACCCGGATGTATCTCGATTTACCTGGATTGACCTGGATTCATCTGCATCTGCCTGGATTTGTCTGGCTCGAGCCCCTCAAGGCGACCGGCAAAGAGTCGACACGCCCTTGGGGAGGGAGATCCCCCAGACGAGCATCCAACGCAGTGCTCCTCCCGGACCGGGAAGAGGCTCTGGCAGGTGCCTGTGATCCGCATCTCGGAGGGGCGGGGCGGCCGAGACCGCGGCGGCCCTCTTGGCGCGTTTTTTTTGTTGTTGCGGGGGGGGGGCTCGTTGAGGCTTCTCGTGCAGCGCTGGCTCCGCCTCGAGGGACGGGTCTCAAGCAGTGGTGAAGCGTCCTGGCTCGCCTATAGGCCCACCGAGGAATGCTCTGAGAGCCCTGTTTTTTGTGGCCTGCGCCACACGCTCCTGGAGCATGCCTGGCTGAGACAGTCTTGGTCTAAAGAACACTGTTTCTGCCATTCGAGCATGTTTGGGGCTAACCTTTCCTGGCAGGCCCCTAGGAATGCCTGAACGGTCGGTCCCTGCTGAGATGGACCCCGGCAGGGTTCCTCCTCCTCCTCCTCCTCCTCCTCCTCCTCCTCCTCCTCCTCCTCCTCCTCCTCCTCCCCTCCTCCTCCTCCTCCTCCTCTCCTCCTCCTCCTCCTCCTCCTCCTCCTCCTACGTCTCCTCCTCCTCCTCCTCCTCCTCCTCCTCCTCCCTACTCCTCCTCCTCCTCCTCCTCCTCGTCCTCCTCCTCCTCCTCCTCCTCCTCCTCCTCCTCCTCCTCCTCCTTCCTCCCCCTCCTCCGCCTCCTCCTCCTCCTTGAGCGGACCCGGGTTCGGCGGGAGGGCCGCCGCGGCGTCACGGCCGGCCCTCCTCCGAGCCTCTTCGGCCACACGCCCGCCGGCCAGAGCGCCTGCCTGCACGTGCACGGCATGATGCCCTTCTTCTACGTGCAGGTCTGTGATGCTCCAACGTGCTTTTATCGGGGGTGGATAGAGGGGAGTGATGACTAGGGGGGGGGATATCATGGCGGGGGCCATGAAATTTCCCAGATCTCATGGCGCCTCTTCTTATTTCATTACGTCCCTGGCCCCCCCGCTGGGCCGCGCACATGCCGCCGGTCATGATTTGCACCCCCCCCTCTTGGACACCCCCCTCTTGGCCGCTCCCGAACTTTTATCGGGGGTGGATCGACCTCCGACCCTGACACGTCGATTAGTGAGTTGGCCGTTTTCGGTTCGCGGGAGGGCGTCACGGCCGTTATTTTTTGCGGGTCCAGGTCCGTCGGTTTTGGTCCTAGGCCAGTTGCACTAAAGGGAGGTTTATTGAAGGGAGGTTTGTCCACCGCCGACTTTAGCCTTGATCACCACAAAGAGTTTAGAGCACCAAGAGAGGAACGAAACTGGAGGGTGTTCACGTGTCGGACCCCAGGGGGGCGACACTCGCTCGACACCGTTTCGATCGTGTTCCGGGTGCTCGAACTTATCTTTGGGATGCGGCTCTTCTTCTTCTTCTTCTTCTTTTTCTTCTTCTTCTTATTATTATTATTAGTATTATCATTATTTATATTGTTATTCTTACTGTTATTAGTATCATTATCCTCCTCCTTCTTCTCCTCCTCCTCCTCCTCCTCCTCCTCCTCCTCTTCCCCCTCCTCCTCCTCCTCCCTCCTCCTCCTCCTCCCTCCTCCTCCTCCTCCTCCTCCTCCTTAGTACGATGGGGGCAGCAGAAGTCCAGGTCCCCGCTGGCTCCGCGAGCGCACGCCTCGAGGGCGACGCCGAGCGCGAGGAGTTCTTGCAGCACTTCGCCGCGGCGCTGGAGCACGCCATGACGCTGCACCAGACGATGGGCAGATTTTTCCACCACCGCCACCACAGGTCGGACGGGGGAGCAGTGAGGACGAGGAGGTCCTCCTCGTCCTCCTCCTCCTCCTCCTCCCCCTCCTCCTCCTCCTCCTCCTCCTCCTCGTCCTCCTCCTCCTCCCCCTCCTCCTCCTCCTTCTCCTCCTCCTCCTCCTCCTCCCCCTCCTCCTCCTCCTCCCCCTCCTCCTCCCTCTCCTACCTGCGGCAGTGGTGGTGGAAAATGGGCCCATCACCGGAGCCTGCTCGCCGCGCAGGGCACCGCGCCGCGGCTGCGTGCCGGCGAGACGCCCGCGTTCGTCCACGACGCGCGCTGGGTCTCTGGGTGGAAGTCGATCTGCGGCTGCCTCCGGCAAGTCCGCCACCGCGCCAGCGCTGCACTCTTCGAAGAAGAACGCCAGAAACATAAGCTTGTGGCGCTCCGCGCGGATTTCCTGGCGCCACGCTGCGCCCCCCCCCCCCCCAGGTGGCGCTTCCGGCGCCGCCCCTGGCGCGCTCCGCGCGCCAGGGAGGGGGGTCCAGCGCAGATCCAAGAAATCGAAATCCGCGCGGAGCGCCCAAAAGCCCATGTTTGTGCCGTTTTCCTTCTTCAAACTCTGGGTGGCAACTACTGGCGAGGCGCCAGGGCCGCCCAGGGGCCCTGGGGATGATGGGCGATGCACGCAAGTAGGTGGGCGTGGTGAGAAGAGGAGAGGGCGGGGGTCCTTGTGAAGAGTGCAGAAACCCTGCCAGACAGCACTTGGCATTCTTCCACGCCTCAACGCGCCAGGCGGTGGCGGATACGGCTTCGCAGCCGACGGGAGCTCGCAGCACTTTATCTCGAGGGGCGTCGCCCGCTGCCGCGTGCCCCTCTCGCCTCGGATTGCCCGCGTGGCCGGGCCGATTGCGCTGGCTTGTTTTCAGGCGCCCCAATAAGGCAAACCCTTGGCACGGCGGGAGGGATTCGAAGTATGACAACACATGCGGCATCAAGAAAGCACACGAGGACGAGTTTGAGTTACCGGAGAATGTGTGATGAATGTAAAGCATGACGTGTTCAAAGCAAGTAATTGGGTTATGGATGTATGGCAAAACATGTCCTCAAACACGTGGAAAAGTATGGATGAGCCCGAGATAATTAACATAATGACAAGTATGAGTTCGTATGAGGAGCAGTGGTTCAAGTATTCTCCTATAGTTCCAACGTTCTTCATACTTGCATTTTCCCCGTATGCCTGTTTCCCCCCAGATCGTTCAAAAGTTGTGCATGTGTCATGTGTTCGGTAAACCGCACTCGTACGTTTGATGTCCTGCATGTCTCGCTTGCGACATTCTCGCATTCTACGACCATGAGTTCACATGTGTCCAACAGTCACGGGTGAAGGGCGGCGGTGTTCTCAAAGCGAGGCTCTCGATGGATAAATATCTGTGCGCACTTTCCAGGAGCGTAACATTGTGGAACAGCCATGTGGAGGGAGGGGTCACAACGTGGCTCGCCTGAGGCTTCTTTATCGATGACGCCTACGGCGAATCACCGCGCCCCCTGCCTTTTTGGAAGCACCTGCGTGGCCGAAAGTTGGGCTTGAGCTTGGCCAAGCTATCGGGCCATACGTTCCCCGACGGGGGTTCGAAAGCCTTGGGGGAACACGGGGTCGGACGAGCTATCGGACCAGGTGGTGTCCGAGCTTTCGGGCCTCCTGGAGGACGTCTTGGAGAGGTCTTGGCTCGTCTTGTTGGCCTCTGGCGGGCCTTTTGGGCAGTCTAAGGCCGTCTTCAGGCCATCTGGGGCCGTCTTGGGTACATCTTGGGGCCATCTTCGCCGTCTTGGAGGCCTTCTTGGCCGTCTTGGAGGCATCTTGGAGGTCATCTTGGCCGTCTTGGAGGCCATCGTGGGCGTTTTGGAAGCCTCTTGGGCTATCTTGAGGCATTCTTGCAGCCGTCTTGAAGGCGTGTTGGCCATGGGACGTCTTGGGGCCTCTTGGGCGATCTTGGGGCGATCTTGGGGTCCTCTTGGGCCGTCTTGGATCGGTGAAAGGCCGAAAAGAAGCAAATGCGAACATCTTTCAAACACCTGAGGAACGTCATGGATTTTGGTTTCTTCGGGCCTTCCCTGGGGACGTCTTGGAGGCATCTTGGGCTGTCTTGGAGGCATCTTGGGCGCCCCTGTGGCCACCTTCGGCTCTCTTGGGGATATGTCTGCCGTCTTGGATGTCATCTTGGCCGTCTTGGAGGTCGTCTTGGCAGTCTTGAGGTATCTTGGAGACCATCTCGGCCGTTTCTAAGACCTCTTGGGCTGTCTTGGGGCCCTCTTGGGGCTGGCTTGAAGGGCTCTGGAGCCATCTGGGAGCCCTCTGGGACTAGTTTCGGGACTCCATGGGTCGTCTTAGGCGGTCGGAACACCAAAACCGAGGAAAAGCAACAATCCTTCAAAGCCTAAGGAGAATTGAAGATTTGGGCTCCCTCGGGCCTTCCTGGGGCAACTCTTGGACTCCGCTGGGGCGATCTTGGAACCTATCTGGCCCATCTTGGGCCATCTTGGCCGTTTTAGCGGCCATCTTGGCCGTCTTGAAGCTCATCTTGACCGTGTTGAAAGCATCCCGGAGGCCATCTTGGCCGTCTTGGAGACCGGCTTGGGTGTCTTGGAGGCCTCTGGAGCCGTCTTGGCGCCCTCTTTGGGCCGTCTTGGGGGCCTCTTGGGCCGTCATAGGGCCATCTTGGAGGCCTCTTGGGCGCTCTGGGGGCGATCTTTCGGGCTCCTTGGGCAGTCGTGAGCCGTTGGAAGGCTCGAAAATCACAAAAGCCAGAATCTTTCAAACACCTGAGGGAAACATTGATTTTGACCTCTTCGGGCTCTCGTGGAGGCCTCTTAGGCCGTCTTGGAGGCCTTTTGGAGGCCTTTGGGGCCGTCTTGGGCCGTCTGAGAGGGTTCTTGTGCGAACTCGGAGGCATCGTGGACTCTCCTGTGCCGTCTTGGAGGCCATCTTGGACCATCTTGGGCGAACCTGGAGGCCATCTTGGAAGCCATCTTGGGGCCATGTGGAGCAGGAACAACTTTTGGAACCACCCTTTCCGGGCCATTCCGGGACCCCGGCGGGTGGGGCCGAAACCCCAGGGTGAGCTTTTTGGGAAAAAGAGCCAAAACCAAAAGCGAAAGGATTCAGCACGCCGGGCACCCTTGTGATGAATCAACCGGGGGCGGCGGATTAAACTGCCTTCGGCCCACCCTGCCACCGTGCCTGGGTGGTTGGCATGATATTAGATGTTCGTTGGGATCACTTGGGAAGCTTCTCGGGGGCCTCTTGGGAGGCAGTTTGGACGTCTTTGGAGGGCCGTTTGGGCCTCTTGAGGGGCCCCTTGGGGGCCTCTTCGGGTCTTCTGGGCGCCTCTTTGGGCCTCCTGGAAGTTTTTTGGGGCAGAAAGCCTTGGATTTTCCCTTCGTGCCCCCCTCTTTTGGCACATGTTGTTGCCGTCTTGGGGCTCTCTTGGGCGGGGATGCCTTGGAGCCTTCTTCTGTGCCCCCCTTGGCGACTTCTTGGGCCGTCTTGGGGCGGTCTCGGAGGCCTCGAAGGCCGCTTGGGAGCGTCGGGAAGCTGAAAAGGGGAGAACGCCAAAACCCGTCAACAACCGTAAACTAATCAATGATGGTGTCCTTCTTGGAAGGCCTCTTGGATGCCTTGGCGCGTCTTGAAGGCGTCTTGGGTCAACTGGAGGCCATTGAGAGCGTGTTTGGGTGATGCTTCGGCGAGTCGGGGCTCTCTTCGACCGATTTGGGCGGTCACGGCGTCCAGAGGATCCGCACGAAGCCCCCCAGAACTCACGGGAGCCAGCCCGGGAACCCCCCGCACGGCCCTGAAAGATTTACAAGTCTGGCTGCAGCCTCAGCACAGTCTCCACTTCTCAATGCTGCATGGGCCTTTAGGACTTCAATTTCGTGCCAGAGGCACGGTGGCGGATTTCCTGATCAGTTTTTTTTCCAAAATACTTGGACGGACGATGAAGTTACTCTAACCAAGACGACAACGCACGCGTTGACGCCGCTGTTGGCGTCCCGCCTGCTGTCGCAAATCTGCTGAACAACAAACGGGGTCGCCCCCCAAAGCGGCGACCGTGCGACGACGGTGGCGCCATGATCCAGAATTGCCAATGCAAACAACGCGATGACCCCATGATTACGCGGCTGGGTTCAAGCCTGCCACAGACTTTGAGACGCGTCTGGCGAATGCGTTCAGGAAGACGCACATCGACGATGAGGCCGCGGCTTCTGCTGTGAAAACGCAGAAAGGCTTTCCAGACCGAGGCCGGGGAGCTGCGCCCTGGTCAGAGCTGAAACGCGGAAGCTGGGCTTGACACGCCAAGAAGTCCACCCAGAGTCTGGATATTCTGGCTTCGAGTATCTTGGTAAGCTAAGTTTGGTCCGCGGGCGGCTTCGGTATGTTCATCGACCGCTTTATGCGCCGCGAGGGATTCAGAGGCATGTCGTTGGTCTGGCACGCTGCGCGAGACGAAGCAACTTCGTGGATCGCGCACACTGAGTCAGGGATGATGCCTTGCGACGACCAGCGGTGGGAGAAGGCGAAGGCTGGCGCGAGACAAAGGTTGGCCGAAATGCCCCAGACTGGCGCTTTTTGGAGCGCCGTTTTGCGGCGCGGAGAACAGGCGCTCACGTCCGCGACCCACGTTCCGGCAAAATTGCAGGCATGCGGAGTTAGTTGCATTCCACATTTGATGAGGGCGCGCTTCCATGAAACCTGCGGTGCGAGTCGGCAGAGCGGAGGAGCGACGATCTGGTGCCCAATCGCAGCCGGTTTCTATTGCTGCGTGATGCCAGCAAAAACAACATGCGCACGACGTCAGTGTTCAATTCGGACCCGTGTCCCGCTCTTGTTTCCAGCGTGGTCGTTTTCGGCGCCTGCCAGCTGACATCAGGCATGGCTGGCCTCGTGAAGCCGTGCGCCAGCATACGTTTGCAAGAGCGTTCGCGCGTCTATCATCATCTTCCGCCAGATTGGGACGACGCCGACGGGCGACGCCGAAAGGCAGAACTGGATTCCGATTTGCTGCCGACACCCCCGCAGCGCGAGCGGGCTAGAGCCGCGATCGCGCCCCTTCTGATTTGGCAGTGGGGCACCCCGCGCGCTGACCACCGCTGCGCCCCAGGGCGCTGCGATGGCAATATAGCCAGCGCGTCGCGCTCTACGCCCGCGCGCGTTGAAACTGTTCCCTCGTTATCGTTGGGCGGGCTCGGACGACGCTCTAGAGAAGCAGATCGTCTGTTCCCGCGCGCCGCAGAGACAAGAGTCTCGCGGCCCAATTCCGATGCCCATCGCCCCCCTGCCACGCAGTCCCCCGCCTGAGTTCGCGCCCGAAGTCCCGGCCGCGTTCGCGGGAGAGGCCAGTTGCAGCGGTCGCGGCGTTTCAGACCGGTCTGTCGGCTCTGGCCAATCGGCCAGCCGCGCCGTGGCGCGCGCGGGATCGCTCCGAGACGCGATTTACGCATGGCCACTGCCAGTCGGGCCGGCCCCCCAGAAGCCGACGCGCGGTGGATATTGTTTGTTATTTGCGGGCCCCGGGCCTCATGCCGCCCTGGGGCCCAGGCGGCGGGCGCGGGCGCGGGCCGCCGCCCCCGCCCGCGGTTCGCGCCCACCGCCCAGGGGCCGCGCGAGGGATTCCGGAATCCCGCTCGTCCCCCAAAATCCATGACCTTGCCATCTCTTCGCCTGGCGGAAGTCGGCGGAATGATGCGGAAGTAAAAGATTTCATTATGAAGGCGGAGGGGGCGCTCGGGGGGGCCCGGGGGGGAGGGGGCGGACGGGGGGAGAGAAGAGCAGGGCCCTGCGGAAAAGACGC